TGTGGCACTCTGCTCTGGCTACAAGCACACTTTCCGCTGTGTGTTTATGTGATTCGCTTTGGCCTGTCAACTTCAGTGGCAGCTCCCTGAGGGCAGCAGCCTGTTAGCTCACAGCTGTACCTTTGTGATCCGTGCAGTGTGGTGTAGCTAATTGCTCCAGAAATATTTGACGAGTAAGTGCTGGTGATAGCGAAGGTGATGAGTGAATGGAGGCATAAGCACGAGCAGTGTGGAGCAGACAGGAGGCTGGCAAGGTGCTTGCCATCCCTCCTGTGGGTCTTGTGCGGTCAGGATGGCCCAAGGCAGTGAGGGCAGCAGTTCAGGGAGAGAAAGACCTAGACTTCTGTCCTGGCTCTGACACTAACTGGGTGACTCTGGGTGGTGTTCCTCCTCTGTGTCTCACTCTGTTCCCCGGAGACATGGTGAGGATGCAGCCACGGAATGGGCAGCTGAGCACTTATTGTGTGAAGATGCTGGAGAACACGCAGGGAAGGGGCAGGTTGCTGGGCAGCATCTGTGCAGACGTAACTGTGGGGCACAGGGCTTGGTCTCCAAGCTGAGTCTGGCGGGCATCGGCTTCTACAGCCATCTGGGGTGGCAAGGAGACCCCAGAGCATTGCAGTTGGAGAATGAAGGCTCAGGGGCTGGGTGGGAGCTGGGCTTGTTGGAGGAAAACAAGGTGGGCATGGCCTGAACTCGGGGTGGGGTGGGGAGCGAAATCACCACAGGCCAGACCAAAGACAACTGCAAAGGCCACAGCACATCTTGTACTGCACAGCTTGAGGTAAAGTGAATGGCACTGTGGCCTGGCAGCCTCATAAGGTCCGGCAGGTGCATGGAGGAGAGGCTAAGCTACATGGGGCCGGGCAAAGGGGCTGCTGTGATTTCCTAGCAAGTGTTGAGGTGGCCTGGACTGGGGCAGCAACTGTGTGAAGGAGAGAAGTGGACTGGTCACAGAGACCCTGGGGCCAGATCTGGCAGCCAAGGAGAATCAGAGATGCTGTCCTTCTGGGGCTTTAAGGACACCAGGTGTCACATGCTTGTGGAGCAGAATAAGCCTGTTCTCCCTAGCAAGGAGGATGAATCAAAGGTTAGGAGTGGGAAGCTTTCCTCTCCCTGGGCCCAGGGAGTGAAGGGAGAACCAAGCATAATGGAGTTAAGAAATACCACACAATCCATCACACTCGCTTAAATTAAATGCAATGTCCAAGCGGGTTGCCTCACATTTTCCTCAGCAAGCAGAGGTCCAGGTCCACCAGCACAGTTACACTATCTACAAGTGAAACTGGATAAGGAAGCCTCATCCTTCGGATGGGTGGGAAGGTTAGTAAGGGAAAGAATAAGGGAAGTGTCTAGAAAAACCAATACCTGGGGCAGATTGAGCTATAACATCAGACGGAGGATATGGAATGTGGAGATGGCAGGGCTGAATCCCTGTCATGCTACTCACCAGCTGTGTGATCTTGGTGGGTCATTTACTCTCTCTGATTCTTACTTTCTTCATCTATAAGGGAGACAAAGCTGGAAATGGTGCCACATGCCTATAACCCCAGCATTCTAGGAGGCTAACACAGGAAGATTGCAAGTTCAAGGCCATCATTGGGCAACTTAGTGACTTAACAAGACACTGTCTGAAATGACAAATAGATTTTAAAAATGGGGATGCAGCTCAGTGCTAAGATGCTGGGTTCAAATATCCAGGACTGGAGAGAGAGAGGAGCAGAAAGAGGGAGAGGGAGGGAGGGAGGGAGAGACATGCTTCAGGAGGCTATTTGTGGGTATTAAATGAAATAATAGTGAAAGTATTTTGTCAGCAGCAAAGCACTATTCAATGCTAAGGGTTATTAAGAAAGTATCTTTTAAGCAAAAAAAAAAATGTAACTGGGTGGTATTATGGAGTGAATGCTAGCTTTAGGGTATTAGGTGGGCGAATGTCTTTAGTCTTAGGAGATGCATGTGGAAGTATTTAGGAGTGAAATATCAACATGTTTAATGTGTTCAAATGGGTCAGGAAAAAAATCAAAATTATAAAGCATAATGAATATTTATATATTTATCTATTTCATGTATTGAAATGTGGCAGAATGCAGCTGAAAGATACTCATATTTATTAAACTATTTTTAACTGTTCAGGACATTTGGAAATTTTCACAGTTACAAACAGAGGGAAGATGAATTCCAGGTGGAGTCCAAATAGAAAAGATAAAACAATAGGTAACGAAGGGCAAGGTTTTTATGGGCTTGGGGAAAAGGCTGTGGCTTTCAGTAAGGAAGAAGGACCCCAGTTTCTCTCCCTGTTCCTCCCATCTCCTCTCGGTTCCTGAACTCTGTCTACAGACCATGAGCAAAGAGCGGTGCTGACACTGAGATATCAGCATCCAAGGCCTGGGAGCAGGAAGAGGCAGGGAGGCGACAAAGAGTGACATGAAGGGCAACCGAGGAAAATCCGCAGCCTTTGTTTTGCAGGGTAGGTGGACAGAGCTGAAACACACTTGACTCTTCCAGCCAGCCTTAGAGCTAAGAACTCAGAGCGTGGCACAACTGTGGCCAAGCCCCTCCTAAAGGGAAGTCTGTGGTGGGAGCCTGGAAACATTTTCTGTGTTGAGTGGAAAATGTTCTCTGTGCCTTTGGACACGATCGTGAGGACGTGCAGTCATGAGATGACCACATGAGGTTACTTCTGCAAGATCTGCCCCCACGACAGATGCGAGCTGAGAGGATGAAGAACAGCCTGCAAGAGCCCTGGTGCTATCGGCAACACAGCCACCAGGGCACCTTCGGCCCTGCTTTTGGTCGTGCCAGGGGAGTCTCACATTCTGAGGGAGCGATTTCTTGTCTCCGGCCACCACCAGCTTCCTCACGGATGCACAGGTCAAAGTTGAAATAGTCTCATGTTTCCTTCAGTTATGTCTTCCTCAACCGCTAGATTTTCCACTCTGATGGTGAAAGAGGCAAAACCCAATGGAGATAATAAGGGAGTGGACGCTAGAGGAAAGAGCAATGCTGAGAGGAAGCCTGTCTTCTCAGAGGAGGGGAAAGCAGGCACAGGCGTCATGGCTTGTCCATAGAAACATGGGTACCAAGCTCACGGATTTAGGGGCAAGGCTTTGGGCTGTCAGTGCCCTGCCCACACCCCTGGCCGCCTTTGATCAGCATCGTGCACCTCCCCGTCCAGCTTTCATACACGGTGTGGCTGACAGCTTCTCGCTGAGACCGTCGGGAGTTCTTGGACCCGGAGCCACATCACTCTTGCTGAGAGCCCAAAGTTAATGAATGACTAACCATGTGGCACACAAATGCCTCACATCTGTGTCCCCAGATGGACAAACCCTGTGGTGTAGTTTATCCTCAGGATCCCTCACGGGTCAGGGCTGAGTCTGGATGTCTCCTCCAAGGCACCCCGGGTGGATTCATCACCTCCCTACTGTGGCCCTGCACTGCTTTAAGGATCTGTCCCAGAAGCTCTGTAGGAGATGGAGGTAGAACCCATGGGGGGGGGGGTGATACATGAAACGCCCCAGAGGGCTGAGATCATGGCCACAGTACGGTGACACCTGTGGACTCCACCCTACCCCAAGACTTCCCCACCAGCTACTTCTGCATGTAGAGCTGCACAGGCCCATTTAGGCTGAGCTTCTGACTCTCTCTTAATCATTCATTCTTTTGCAAGTGGCTCCTCTTCCCACAGTGTCACGGTTGGAGGAGGGACCTGAAAGCCAGGTGTGCATGTGAAGGCTACGTCTGCCCTTCCTGCAGGGCAGGAAATAAGTAGTGAACAGGATAGGGACATTTGCCCGGATATAGACTTCTCTATCTTTCCCCACTAAAGCTCTCTTCAGAGTCCTTGCCCCTTGCTGACCCCAGGACACGTCACCAATGTTAGCCCCCTTATCACCCACTGCCATCACTTATCTGGAGGTTTCAGGGCTTCCAACCCTGCTGCACTGGAGGCACACAGGGAGCACTTCCAACAGTGCCCTAGGGCAGCCTTGCTCTCCCCACTCCTGCCAGGAGCCTCTGGGAGTGGGTTGCAGGCGTCGGCATTATTAAAGCACCCAGGTGACTCCAGCATGCAGTTAGGGCTGAGATTTGCTGCTCCATGGAGGTGCGCGTCCACAGAGTCCTACACCCCGTGGGCCTTCCCGAGGTCTGGTCTTGCTGGTTGCCTTCATATCTCCTGCTAGATCCCCACAGTCCCTCTCCCGCTGCCCTCTCGGGTCATCCCATGTTTGCCAAAATCCCGCTATCCTTAGTGATTCAAGCATGTGACTCCTCTGCGACTGTGAATACTGCCGAGGATCACCATCTGCTGCTGGGACCTGGCATCCAAGGGTGGGGTTGGCAGCACAGGTCCCTGGGGGTATGGTGGCAGCTCCTCTTCTTGCTGCTGGCCTTCATGTGAATGTTTCCTTGTCAAGGGAAGCAGCATGTGAGTGTGTTAGAGTCGTTGAGGCTGCAGTATGAGGGCTACGACTTTCTTAGAACATGTTTGCTTACTTTGGTAAAGTGCTCACCAGATTGCAAACATCGCCTTTTAAAGCACTGTAGTTTATCACTAGACAAAACCAGGGACAACCTTCGAAGCATACTCAGAAGTAACTTTCAGAATAATAATAACTTTCAGAATAATAATAAGGCTTTACAAAACCATTCTAGTTTTCCCGTTCTATTCAAGGAATAGGGTGGGGGAAGCAAAGCTGAATCTCCAGCAGAATAACATAAACTTCAGTTAATTACCCCGAAGTGTCCCTTTCTCCAGCCTAAATACTTTCCTACCTTAGTATCACAGGCACAGAACGTCTAAGGGAAGGAGTTTCAGATTACCCATGCCATTGCACGTCAGGAAATTCTGAGCTTCTAATATAATTTGAGAGTACATATTAATTCCTCTCCTTGATGGTTACCCTGTGGATTCTCATATTTTCCCATCTCCAGTATTTGCTAATTAGGAAAGACACCATGTTTTAATGAAAATTCTTTATTTGATTAAATATACAACATTCAATTCCTGGTTTATGTAGAAAAATAAGACCATTCATTTACCACACAGGGAAAACAATCATTAAATGAATGATATTTGCTATTTTTGTCTGCTTTTTGGAGAGTAGTGATAAATAGATGCAACATATTATCTCTTGTGCCACCAGCTGATTTAGCCTGCAAGTCTTTCTCTCTGTATTGTAGTTATGCACTGAAGAGCAATGGCATCATTTTCCAGCTCACACCTGCCGGTTGTCATGGCCAGTGTCCCATTGCTTTGTGCTTTTGCTCCTTGTGCATCTGTCCTCTACTAAACCAGTAGGTCTTGACCTTGGTTACCCGTGAACAGCACTGGCGGACTAAAAAGTACAGGATTGCTAGAAATATTCACCTGCCACGGTTCATCCTGGATTGACATATCATTGCTTGTTAATACTCAATGACAATGCTATAGCATTTAGTTAGCAGAAGCACATCAATATATTAAAAAGATACATTATTTAGAAATGCACAGCATTGGGTTGTAGCCACATGAAGCACAAATATCAATGTTACCTAGTCACCGTGGAGAACAGTGCTCAGAATAAACATCTACTTTTTCCATGGGGATGTCAGAAAACAAAATTTAAACAATTACCTGAATACAGAAGCAAAAACCCATCTGTTTTCAGTCTTAGTTTTGGCTGGTTGGCTGGTTAACTGATTGATCCATTCATTCATTCAACTTTAACTCATTGGGCCTCTTTGTGCTGGCGTGGTTCTAGGCACTAGGACAAAGCAGTGAACTTCAGTGATATCTCACAGAATTCAGATTCAAATGCGGGAGACAGGTAAAAAACAAGGAAGCAGGCAGCATTCAGTTCAGGAAGCAATACATGCTGTGAGCTAAGCAGAGCAGGAAGATATTCTGGCAGGCCTAGGAAGCAAGTTCAGCCCTCATGGTTGGGAAGGGTCCCTGTAAAGGTGACCTGGGAGCTGAGATCTGAATTTCTAAGGATGGCCGACTGCAAAGGCATAGGTCCAGGGCCAGGGAAGAGCTTGACAGCTGTGCAGCAGAATAATGAAGGGTTGAATATCCCATGCAATTTACTGAATACATGTATTCACATAGTGCTGGCCACACAGTACACTACAGAGGGTATTTTCCCTGCAGAGTGGCGTGGCTGACTGAGAACTGCAGCTCGTTCTGCTGCCCGGCACCATGAGAGAGTACTGGACTGCACACCACTAGCCCAGGAAAAGATCAAAATTCAACAAAGTGTGGAATATGTTTCATTTTTGCAGGATTGTAAAGTAGGAAATCTTCAGTTGAACCGTGGCATGTAAGTCAGGACCATCTGAACAAGAATTTTCTTCTGAGTGGTGGGATGGGAGTGGAGCGTTGGGCAAAGCCGTGAATAAAACACTCTCCCCCGGATATCCACACAGCTTATGTTGTTTCTGCATTTAAAGTCTGTCCAAATGTCACTTTCCCAAAGAGGGGACTCTATCACCATCTCTCTCCATGCCCTCCTTGCCTTCTGATGGTTTCCAAGGGTCTTACACAACCACACATTATGTTAGATGTCTATTTGCTCATTTTGTATTTCTTCCTTCCTACTAGAACAGAATCCCACTAGAACAGATCCCCGGGTTGCGGATTTCACCTATTTTGTTTTTGGCTGTACTCAGTACAATGCCTGGCACATTGTAAGTGCTCAACAAATTTTTGTTGAATGAACCTGGAATAAATTCCTTTGGGTTTTCAGCATTTATCTGGGCACAAAGGACTTAAGAGAGCCCTAATGTTCCCAAGCTTTTATTTCCCAAGTACATTCATGTCCTTTCTAATCTTTCTGCCTTAATCACTTTAAATATACTGACAGGCACAATTGACCAATTAATAGTGCTTATGCTTTTGTTATATCATTTGTAATCCATGATGCTCTTTCTGTTTGCAGTGGCCTTTCAATTTTTCATGACCCAAAATGGAGGACATGCATAATGAATACAAATAGCAAATTGATTAAATGTAATGCACATTCTACTGCTTGCTGGGTTTACGCCTGTTATTAATGACAGAAATCCAGCAAATGCTCATGAAAACACCAATGACATACAACCTTTAATGCAAGATGTTGGAGCGCTAGGGGTCCTAAATTTTCCTAATTACTGAGCAACAGCAGACATTAATTTCCCAGATGACAACCTCTGTAAATAAGAACAGCAGCATGGCTTTTTTGTCCAAGTCCTTTTTGCTGAGCAAAATACCCCATCATGCAACCCACAAACTATTTGTGTGTGTTTCAAGAAAAATAAAGATACACTTGAGAGACTGCCTTATGAGCAAAGTATAAAGGACGCCACTTGTGCGAAATCAAATTTATTGTCTACTAGTAGGACTGCATGTTTTTGGAATGCTAATATACTATGGTACAGATTCCACATAGCTTCTGCTGATGTGCCAAGCATTAAAACCTCACAAAGGTGATAAAGCCGAATGAGAAAGAAGAGTCCACATTGGGTAATACGGTAAAGGAATTACATTCAAGAGCTCTGCCCGGCTGGATATCCAGTCTTGGTCTCAGGTTGCTATAGGACAGACCGGTTTGTAGTAAGAGTCTATGTGGACCATGCTTTTTTTCCACTAGCAGGAACCTTCCAAGAGGCAGGTGTTTTCTCTGGCACACTGGTAGGAATGGCAGCTGACTTACCTAGGTTGCTACTGGAAAACACAAAGCCCTTGTCTGCCAGGTCTGTGAGGAGAGGAAAGGGAGTGGCCTGGGCATTGTGGAGGCTTTATGCCTAGAAAGCACCACATTCACAGTTTACAAACTGGCTGTCCTGCTGAAGGAAGGCTGGAGGCAGGGCCTGGTGGCTGTGGGCGTGGCCCACTTCCCCAACAAACTAGACCAGGGCAGCTCTGCATAGTCACAGCTGGGCTCTAAGTGGATAGAATCCCAAACCCAGCAGAAGCACAGGGTTACAACAGTGTGCCTGCTGACTGGGGGCCTGTAGTAGTTTGAGCAAAACTTAACCCAGCCTTCGGATTCCCTCCTGCTTTTGAAAGTGTGCAGTCTTAGATTAAAAGCCCCAGAGGAGCCCCAGAGCTAGGGTTTGAGGGCACGGGGCTGACTGGAGGAGCAGGGTTCCTGGGTCGGTGAGGGGAGGGGTGGGAGAGGGAAGGGAAGGTGGCTCGACAGTAAAGGGTGTCGGATCCACAGCTGCACAGCGGGCGCTATGGCTGAATCCCACAGAGAAACGCTGGGAACCTGTGAAGCACATCTTCATGATATTTACACCTGTATACAGAACGGGTTGGTTAAAGGACCTCCAGATGTTAACTCCTAGGGACTCTCAGCTTGCCATGCTTATAGATGAGGTGGCTTCCAGGAGCCTCAGGGCAGCTACTTGGCAAAGAGGTAGTGAGTGGGGGTTGAGGCAACAGCAGAGACAGCTGTGAAAGTCAGCTGTGGGCTCAGGACTGTCTCCCACCTGTACAAAATCCACCCTGCCCCAAATGTCTGAAGCCTCTGCTGTTCACCGTGATCAAAATGTCTGATGAATGTACACAGTGTGCTAGCTGCTCCGGTGAATGCGGCTTGAAAGGGAAATGAGACTAACAAACAAAACTGTCCTTGAGAGTTTCCTACTCTCTGGAGGACGGCAAGACAGATTTCTCAGGAAATTAGGAAATAAACATGCCCTCCAACCCTACTGTCATACGTCTGTGTAAGAGAATAAAGAACTCACAACTAGATCTAAAAAAAGTCAGGCTGGGAGGAGAAATACATCCACAGACCACAGAGTGAGTGAAAGTGACAGCACTAACAGAGAGACAGGCAGAAAGGAATGAGGATTTCTTTTATTATAATTGGAAAAAATACAAAAAAATTCTTGGTACCTTTAAGCATTTTGAATCTTAAGAGGTACATATCTGTGCTGGAATGTTCTGATTGTCACATGAAGTCCAGTTGTCAGACAGGGCCTCATTTTGTACTCCAATTCATTTTTTAAAGCCAAAGAATTCTTCAGCATCTCCACTTTCGATATTTCAGTCATAAAATTCTTTTCTGTGCCTAAAAGTAAAAATCATACAAATTAGTGTTTATTTAGTGCTTACTATGCGTGAACTGTTTTGCATGCATTAGCCCACTTAGTGCAACAAAACTGTGGTTAGCTCTTAGTTCTCCCACTTTACAGAAAAGTCACTGAGGTTCAGAGATGCTGACTACTCTAAAGTCACTCAACACACAGAGTTGGTATTTGAACCTCGATCTGACTCCAAGCCCACATTTTGTACGTCTCTATGTGATCTTTCCTTCATGTGCCCTAATTACTTGCTTTAGTAATCAAATGTATTTACAAACATAAATCCTGCTTTAATCACGTGTAGCCCAAGGATGTGAAAGTCTGACATTTTACACCATAGTAAATGCAGTAACTTCTCATGAATACCATCCTAAAATAGAGCTCATTCCAGGAGCAGAGAGGCTCCGATACCCCAAGCGTGGCATCTGCTTTCTCCAGCAGCATGCCTCGGGCTTGGCAACAGCAAAGCCTTGTGGGCTTCATCTCATACCCATCTTAAAAACACCTGCTCTCTACATCTAGAGAAACTCGCTGTGGGATACAGAAAATCAATTTTGTTTGAGTCTCTTGGCTATGGGATGAGCCTGTTCAACCCCTGGACTCCATATTGAGTAAAATTATTCAACATGTAAATGGCACTGCATTCTGATTGGCTTTTCTTGTAGTTACTAGATAAAAGAACGATGTGTAGATGGAAGCACTGCTTAGAAAGCACTTGAGGAACTGCTTAGATTCACATTTATTATAGTGTGATCCTGAGCCTGAAAAGGAATTGACTTTTTTTTTCAAGGCAATCTTATAACCCCAGACCCAGAGAGGCCTCTCATTCTACTTACTATCTCTTCAGGAGGGGATAACAGGGAAAAAGCTCATGCCTGACAGTGTTAAAAGCTTACTGTTTGCTTTTCCGTGGTATTTCTATTACAGTGTAAGTATGTGGCATAAGCGCATATGCACATAAATGCTATTTGCTAAATTTAAAAGAAAGATGGTTTTCCCACTTCTAACACTTAAGGACTCATAAAAGATAACGCCTTAAGAGCCAACAAAACCCACTACTACACACAGATAAAAGAACCTCTTACATTGCTAAATATTTAGAGAACTGATCTAGAGGACCACAATAGCAGCTTACCAAAGTCTGATTAGATAAAAGGGTGAAAGTGTCCACATACACAAGGAAATAGAGAATTTTAAATAAAAACATTCAAGACTTTCATCCTTTTGTCTTGGCTTAGTCTTTCTACATACTCATGTTCAGTAATAACAGTAGCTTTGGAAGTGTCAGGCCCCAATCAGTCAGGAGGATTTGTTTAGAAATTATGACCGGTCACAATGTGCCTTTATTTAATCTCCACTTTCTCTAACCCTCATAATAAGCAATTTCTATTACCGGGGCTGCTGTGTGATGAAGTGGGGCCTGCATACCTAAGGCTCTCTCGTCAGACGCCCACAGAGCCTTCGCTGTAGGCACATGCGAGAACAGTGATGGGCCCGGTGTGGGGGAGGCAGCTGGACTTGTGCGCGGTGTGTGTCTGAGATGCCCTGTTGATGGCTGTCATGTCTCCTGATGTGACACAGGTCTGGGCTGTATTGACAATAATTCTAATGGGAAGATTTGGATTTTAGACTCCTCTTTGTTTCTGTAACCTGTCTGTTATTCCTCCTTTCCTCAAACACTTGGCCAGAAACGAATATAAGGAGAGGATATGATTTTATGCACAGAAGTCCCCCAAAGATAACACTATCCAGACTGAAATGACTAAATAAAAAAGATGTCAATATAAATTTCAAAAAGCCGTTAGCTGAATCATATATTTACAAAATATGGTCAGCCATGTACTGCTGATTAAGCTTCGGTAACATCCTCCTGATAATAAAAACCATGACATGCTAGGATGATAATGACCCGGACAGATGATGCTAAATTGAAAATTATACAAGCACTAATAATAAAGTAAATACATAAACTCAAAAAATGGAAAAGAAATGGTAAATAAAGTCTGTTTCTAACAACTTGAAAAAATTTCTGTAAGCCACAGATACCTGAAATTGGAAAATATAGCAAATAGGGATATTAAATTAGAAAGAAACTGAACAAGGTTGGAAAACATATTAATGGTGTTAAAGCGTCTTAGATAATAGCAACAAAGATAAGCATTGATTTCAAATATTACGATGGAAAAATCTTTAACATGAATTTAGCAGCAGGGAGGGTACAGCTCAGTGGCAGAATTTAAAGTTGAATCCAGGGAAACTAAAGGTTTTCACTAGAAAAAAAAGTGTTAAGGGCAAACAGTTGATGAACATGACCCAGTGGGGTAAGAAGGGAGACAGGCATCATTGCTCCAAGGGGATCCAGGAAAGGAAATCAGGAAAGTTTCTTTACCTACGTTGAATAACTGGTTCCCAAAAGGTATTCTATTAATGTATGACATATTCTGATAAAACAGAGCAGGATACTCTGAAAGGACAGACAAGATAAATGCTGAAAGATGGAGTTAAGCCTTATCTTTATTTTGTTCTGTTTCACTTTATTTTATTTTAAACTAATGCTTATATAGCACTTGCCATATATTGGGTATCATTTATAGCATTTTAGTGAAATAATCAGTTTAATCTTAACAACTCTAGAAGGAATCATTACCATGCCATTTTACAGATGGGAAAACTAAGGGTTGGAGAGGTTGAGTGATTCTCTCAAGGTCACATAGCTAGTAGGAGCTGGGGCTGCACACAGGCAATCAGATGCTACAATATCTGAACTCACTATGCTATGCTGCCTTTTTAAGCAAAGAGACATACTTTGATTTTTCTCACCCTAATATCTCAGCTTCTGAAAGGTTAAGTGAATATATGATACAATTCTACATGCTTGAGGAAGAAAAAGGTAAAGTAGAAACTGATGTTAAAATATATCCATTTCCATTATAATCATACACAGGGCCTTAAGAATCCTTTAGAGGATTAAATTGGTATTACATAAAAATAAAACAAGAGCATAGATGGATTGGAAAGATCTATTTTTCTGTTATTTCACAATAACTTTCACATTGAGATCAGATTAGAAAACTACCAGGACAAATGGCCAAGAATAAAATTCCCCTAAGTGTTACAGACCCACTTTAGCAGGAAAGTGTGTGATCGCATTCTAAAGATGGGTTTCCTGCCACAGAGGCAGGGCAAGTGCTAATGTTAACAGCTCCCAAAAAGCTGCAGCGAAAAAGAATGATGTCCTGAAATACAAGCTCCATTTCTCTAGTTAAAACCACTCTTATCTTCAGTCTTGACTCTTTATAGTTGTACCCTTACCAACAAGAAACCACCACTCACTCGTTCACTCAGCAAACATTTACAGAGAAGTCCACTCTGAGAATATAAATTTGGATAAAGAAGTACAAAGCCATAAGCTAAATTATTACTGGAGGCTCTAATATCACAAACAACATCTTTTTAAAGACAGGCAGTATGCTTCTGCCTCAATACGGTGGAAGAAGTACATGTCTTATTTTCTCCCTGAACTGAAGCTGCAGTGAAATAAGTGTAAATGCCAACTTTCTACCAAATGGAGTAACAGTCACCCCTACTACCTAAAATAATGAAAAACTGGACAAAATATATAAAACAACAGTGTTCAAGAGCCAGGCATCAGGTAACAAAAAGCGGATCCTGTAGAAGAGGGAAGGAGATGTGATGGTTACTGAGCTGCCCATCTGGGGAGAGGCTACAGGCCACAGCCAGAGATGACAAAGCCAGATGAACTCAGAGAATTCCTGGAACTGGGTAGGCAAGTCTGGCAGCCTGAGGGGGCCTAGACTGATAGTATTTACAGAGAAGAGCACTGGAAAGGAAAAAGGTCTTCAAACAAGGAAAGCTTCAGAGATCCAAAGGTGGCCCCTGGAGCCAGCCTGCTGTGGACAAAACTGTGAGCCAAAATAGACCCCTCTTCTAAGTTGTGGTGTTGGGTATTTTGTTCCAGCGAGTACTAAAAAACCCATGCACATGAGGAAACTCCTTAGGTTGGGTGGTGATCATTAACTGTGCTACATCAACTTGAGTAAGGACTGCTTAGCAGGTTAGTAAAGCACTGGGTATGTCTGAGGCTGATTGATATGTAAGCCACAAACTAAGGAGGGAAGATCCACCCCCGTGTGGGTGGCCCCAGCCAATAGGCTTGTGTCCTGGACAGAATGAAAATGGAAGGAAGGAGGAGGAGCTCTGGTCTTTGCTATTACCTTTGGACATTTGTCGCCAGTTCCTTCAGGCTCCCAGTGTACTGTTCATCTTTACATCCTTTCAATGCAGACCTTTTGACTTTCTGACACAGACTTGCACTGGACTCTGCCATGAGCTCTGAGCCATCCACATTTGAACTGTATCCTCTAGTCCTTCAGTGCACAGGCAGCCATTATGCACTTTTGCACCTCTGAATTGACAGATGGCCTTTGGGACTATTCCACTTCCAAACCTGTAAGCCTACCTAGTAAATCCTTTGTATAGTCATACATGCATTTTACATTAAATCTGTTCCTTCAGTGAAGCCTAACTGATACAGATGGAAAACCATACAAAAGGATTATAGAGCAGTGATTTTTGCTTATGAAGACCCAGCAGTCAGGTTGGAAAGCCTCAAGATTCACTGAATACACAGAAAAGTTTGCCTCAATTGTGGGGAATAATTACCCCTAAAACAAGCACTGCTTTTGTACCACCTAACAAATCTTAAAACTGAAGACAAAGTATAAAACTATTTCTAAGACACTAAACTGTGTCAGACCAAAGCTTGACAATATTTATCAAGGATATATTTATCATATGTATCTGGAATACAAAAATATCCAGAACCAACAAGGTAAATTTAACATTCAGCACATGGTCAAAAATTAGGATATAAAAAAGCAGGAAATTCAGACCCATAAGTGGACATAAATCAAGCAAAGTGGATCCCAACATTAACATCAAATTAGCAGGAAAAGATGCTAGAAAA